TAACGGCTCACACCGCAGCGCGCCAATAACAATTTCTTGACTAAAGTCCTTAACCAGAACAACAGACACTATGATACCCTGGCAACTGGAATAATTTATTTTCATCGCTTCTATATGTTGCATTCCTTTAAGCAATTTCCAAGATATGTAAGTATTTAATTTTATTTTAATTCTCTATCACATGTAATTATTTCCACACAGTTCAGTGAACTAATTTAATCTATTTTTATATTTCCAGAAAGTAGTTATTTTTACATAGAACATACTATGTATAAACAAAATCAAGTTTGAACTTTGCGTGTGATTTTTTGTTTGTTTTTCATTTTTTTAATTAACCACATTCAAATCCTTTTATTTAGCCTGATATGGACACAGTCATATTGCACTTTGTGTGCAAGTTTACTTCCCTGTTACCTTTGCCAAGATAAATTTGGTTTTATAATTGAGACCCAAAAAAGGCCAAGAAGGAATAAAAATGTTTCAGGCCATATTGCTCATTCTGCAGTTGTTCCTTAAACATGCACTGTCTTCTGCTCTGTGGGAGACTCAGACGGGGAACCTGCCTCAGTACTTTTAGTCCTGAGGTGTGATGTACAAAATATGTGGTAGAGGGGAGACCATAGGAGAGGTGCAGAAGAAAGGCTGCAGCTTCAAGGGAGAGATTAATGCATTGGGGAGGGATCAGGGAATATGCTAGGGAGGAGGTGCCAACAGTAATTAAGCCCTGACTATAAATGTCAGATGGGACAGAGCAGTGATCCCGCAGAAACTAGCATGACAAAGACATGGAGGAACCATGTGGTGAGTACCAGCCCAGCTAGGAGGTTCATTTGGCAGGAATGGAGTGGGGGCCCTGGGTGGAAAGGTAGACTGGGTCAGACCATTGTGAGCATTGAACTCCAGGCTCGGGCATTAGACTTCAGTAGGTAAACTGAAGTGGTTAAGAGTTTCATAAAGAAGATGACAGAATCAGACTTAACAGGAGGTCAGTCTGTTGGGGCTTTTCCTTTAGCTACGATTTTCCTTAGTTTTGTACACGAGTGCTAGAGGAAGGACACTGTTTCAGTCAGCGTTGTACCCCTGGCACAGGGTCTGACATCTAACAATGAGGATTCTGTGGAGGGTCAGACATTCAGGAGAGATGAGAGTAGGCGGAGAAAAACTGGAGAGAGAGCAGTGAGACCATCTCAGTGATGTGGGACCTGGACCAGGTCCAGGCAGTGTGAGGAGAAGGAAGGACAGCTGGGCACTGGCACAGACGTGGACTCCACCAGACATGCGTTTAGCTGTGTTCTTTTTCTGGAACAAAGATCACAGTGTGAAAAGAAAATTTGTGTCTGTGGGTTTTTTCCCTTCTGGCATCTACTTTGTTTACATAACATGTTCTTTGGAAAATTAAATTTAAAATAATTTATGGGGCCAAATTGGGTGTGTGTGTGAAATTTCCTTTGAGCTCCTTGTGAATAAGAAAGGGGAAGTTAGGAGAGTGAAGGTCAAAATTCTTTGCTTGTGTTTCTGTGTGTGCTTTGAGAACAGTATCTCAGGAACTTTTGTCTTCCTTTTTAGGTAACAGGAGCTTGTTGTCTCTTTCTGGCTGGGAAAGTAGAAGAAACACCCAAAAAATGTAAAGATATCATCAAAACAGCTCATAGCTTATTAAATGATGTACAATTTGGCCAGTTTGGAGATGACCCAAAGGTAAGAATCATAACTGCCGGCCTTTAAATCTTGGTTCCTTGTGGTAGCATTAAGATGGGAGGTCCTGCCGGGCTGGTGTGGCTCAGTGGTCAACCTATGAACCTATTGCGGTTCGATTCCAGGTCAGGGCACATGGCCGGGGTGTGGGCTCAATCCCCAGTGGGGCATGTAGAAGGCAGCTGATCAGTGATCCTCAGCATTGATATTTCTCTCTCTCTCTCTCTCTCCCGCTCCCTTCCTCTCTGAAATCAATAAATATATATATCCTATATAATAAAATCCTAATATGCAAATAGACCAAACAGTGGAACGGCCGGCAGAACGACAGGTCCCTATGACACACACTGCCCCCCAAGAGGGAGGCAACCAGAGGCAGCAGCAGTCGGGGCGGGGGCAGCCAGCAAGCGCCCCGCTGGTCATCTCTCACAGAGGGAGGGGACTAGCAGCAGCAATTGGGAGGTGGTGCTGGCCAGCAGGCAGTGCCAGGCCTCCAGCCAAAGCGGGTGCCAGCAGGGGCTCCCCCGATTGCCCCACCCACTGGTCGCCCCACAGATTGGCCCTGATTGCTGGCCAGTCCTAGGGATCCTACCCTATATATTAGGAACAGTGTCTTAGATTTAAAAATTGAAACCTGGCAAGGCTACTCTAACTAAAAAACAGGATGATGCAGCGATGACATGCTTGGACTCTGGCTTGCACATTTTGTGGTCAGACCTGATTCTGACACATAACTGTGACAAAGCAAATTACTTTTCTCTGCTTCAGTTTTTCCACCCATAAGATGGGGAAATAGTACTACTGCCTCAGAAAGATCATGTTATGTACTACTTTTTATAATTAGGGCAAAAAAAAATCTGGCTGCCCATACAATAGCTTAGATGCCTTTCACCTGTATATGTAAAGTATGGTCACTGGTGCATGCAGCATTCCAGATTGCAAGAGGGCAGGCCAGGCTGAGGGACCCCGCCCACCACCACCTTGTGCATGAATTTCATGCACTGGGCCTCTAGTATCTAAATGATTAGCTATTATGAGCTTGATAATACCCACGACTAAGCTAATCTATGGCTATAAATTGGTTATCTATGGAACCTGCTAAAATCTTTTAGTTCTTTGGTGTGTAATTTA